TAATTGTGACTGGAATGGATGAGAGGGATACTGGTGGAGATTAAGCTGCTGATGTATTTAAGATAGGCCCATCTGGGCAGCCAAAAACAGTGGGGAAGGTGACCATGGGCTCAGTCCTGGCCTGAACATAGGAATTGTTAGAGTGAGAGGGCATTGAAACAGAGTGCATTGTCTGTGCATCCTTCAGAAGGACTGGAAGGACAGCTGAAAACTTCAGAGGTTTGAAGGGCTAGCTAGCCGGTGCTAAAAACAAACCGGTGTTAGAAACTTGAAGCTCTTTCCAAGAACATTCAAACAGTTCACGGAATGTTCAGAAACTAAGGTCAGGTAAAAATAGATAGTTATAATGCCACCAATGTCTTTGGCTAAGATTACTAAGGAGTGGTATAAAACAAAGTTAGTCTGCGGTGACGATGAGTAGATTCTGCGGCACACACCGTGTACTGTCAAGCAGCCATCAAGAAGTAGAGAAAACAGAAGCTGAGCCGAGGATCAATCAAGAAGTAGAGAAAACAGAGGCTGAGCCGAGGATCAATCAAGACATAGAGAAAACAGAGGCTGAGCCGAGGATCAATCAAGACGTAGAGAAAACAGTCCCGATTCTAGAATAAACAGTACCGTATGGAAACGGTGCGGCCGGTTGGAGCTCAAATTGAATGGGAAACAAAGTCCAGTGTTCACTTAGCTGGGCGTAACATAGCTGGGCGATGTCCATCGATAGCTGCCTCCATGAGAAGAGAACAGAAGGCAGGGAGGGGGGGTATCACTGTCTGAGGGCTGCCGTAGAATGGCAACGAGGATGTCAGCTGACCAACACTCGCTACCCAGTCCCTGGTTGTGGCGATTTGCGATGCTGGCCAGCTAGGAATTAACTAGCAGCCAGTACAGTACAGTCCTCTCTTGTCTAGCTAACATTTAGCCGTGTTACTTACTGATCTATTAGAAAGAAAGCTAGCTGGACATCGGTTTTGAAGCCTCTTTGGTCACGGAGCTCCCTCCATCTCTTGAACGCCTGACTGAGGTTTACTCTTGTTTTTCCTCTTCTTTTATCACTCTCCTTCTTGCTCTTCTTTGCCTCCTCAGACAGAGGAGCTTGTTTTCTTTTGCTAGGCTATTTTTCACTTGTTTCCAAGCTTTGTCCGTCTGCCATTGTGCTTGTGACTCAACTATCTCATGCCCAACTCCTCAGAAGGACCGGCTCCAGTCCCTGATTGGCTGACTGACCAATTTTGCAATACATGACGTGTTTCCTGCCGTAAAGCAGATTTTTTCCGCGAAATTTTGGCACCGGTGGCAGAAGCTCATTACAAAGAGTGCAAAGCCACTAAGTAACCTATGTAAATGCTGATAGTCTGATTTTACTGTGGCCACCACCCTGTGCAACCCACATTATTTTAAAAATGATATATTTTGGAAAAGATGCTATCTGTTGCCTCTTTAAAATGCTATTTAGTTGGGGCTTCAATGTCTTCACAATTTGTTGTTTCTTATCTGTGAAAGTAAATAACAGCTTTGTTTCCACTGAGGGAAATGGTTTTCAGCCTACAAAAATAGACAGTAGGTCTGCGTCGCTGCAACATGTAGTTACATTTTGTGGGAGGTGCACATGAGGCTCCACCATAGGTTACGACACCAATTCATTGCAGAAGTGTAAATCCTGCTTAACAAACACACCCATGCTAACGTTAACTGCTAACACTACTCAGCTTTGTAAATCTTCTTCGTCTTCTTTTACGTCAGTTGGTTGGTTTAGTTGGTTTGTGGTCTGCTAGTAAAGATAAAATAAGAAGACGAAGAAGAAAACCCTCATCTGGATTCTGAGTAGAGCACCCTGTGATCGAGTCAACTTTCTCATGGAACAATTGAATCGCCTGTTAAATTGTTTTGCCTGACACTGTGGGTAGGTTCATAAAATCCACCCGCCACCTGCCAAATTCACCTGCATTTGGTGAGTGGCGGGTGCTAATTTCCAACCCTGGTTATTAAGTATTGTCAAGTACATCACTAATAATAATGTCAGAGAATACATATGGCTCTTTTGATTTTTCATTGGTCCAGACTTAAATATCTCAACAACTAAACTAAGCACAAAAAGTAAGGAAATTTGTGTTTGGTAGATTATTTATTTTTTGTAACAATGCTTCTTGCCAATAAATCTTATACCGTTGGAAAGCCTTTTTATTTCCCTTTTAAATGGTGCCACATTTGTTAGGAACATGCAATTGTGGGATGAACAGCAGTGCTGAGTATGTGGGTTGCGCCCATGAAAAATTTGCCAAATCTTCTCTGCCAATGCCAAACAGCTTTTTTTCTGTTTCTATTGACTCTTGTTTTGAGCTTCTGGTACCCCCAGGTACCAGATGAACCACCTGTGAGCATGGGCCCTGCTACAGTGGTCGGTTGGTGTCTGCTCCAAGAATTGGCATGCCACATTTGACTAATCTGGATAGGGCAACTTCAAGCTGGTGTTCCGCAAAACCAAGTTGCAGCAGTATTTGGAGTGAGCCCTAGTACCATCTGCAAACTGAAGGCCAAGTTCCATATAATGGGGGATGTCAGAGACAGGCTGCGAAGTGGGCATCCCAAGAAAACAGCACCTCAAGAAGACTCTTTCCTCATCCTGTCAGCACTTAAGAACCGTAGGCAGTCTCCTACAGATGTGCAGTCAAGGTTTGCAGGATGATATGGCCAACGGCTCTCTGCCTCAGACAATCCTGAACAGACTGCACGCAGACAGTCTCTGGACTCATAGGGCTGCCAGGAGGCCTGCCATGACTGCCCTTCACTGTCAGGCCCTATTTGTGCTGGTGTCAGCAACACATGCCCTGGAACCTGAACATGTGGAGGAATGTTATGTTCAGCGATGAGTACAGATTCTGCCTACAGCAGTTGGATTGGTGCTCTGCTGCACCAATAGAGCAACATCTTTTGGTGGAGGCAGTGTGATACTGTGGGGCAGCATCTCCCTCACTGGAAAAACGAGGCTTGTCATCATTGGAAGCAATCTCAATGCAGAGAGATATTGAGATAAAATTCTGCAACCAGTGGCAATCCCATATCTCCACAGTCTGGGACCGAACTCTATCCTCCAAGATGACGCTTATCCCCACAGAGCGGGGTTTATCAGAGACTACCTCCAAAATTTGGGACTGGAGAGGATGGAATGCTCTGCCAGCAGTCCTGACCTCAACCCCATTGAACACTTGTGGGATCAGCTTGGGCGTGTTGTTCGTGCCAGAGTGACCAACACAATCACTTTGGCTAACTTGGGACAAACGCTGGTTGAAGAATGGGATGCCATCCCACAGCAGTTTATGACCAGGCTGGTGACCAGCATGAGGAGGAGATGCCAGGCTGTTGTGGCTGTGTATGGTTCTTCCACATGCTACTTAGGCTCCTGTTTGTAAAATGAATATATTGTAAAATTGCCAATATGTCTTGTTTCTTCAGACTTCAATCATCCAATCCACCAATCAACACCAGACAAGAGTCAACAGCAAAAAAAGCTGTTTGGCATTGGCATAGAAGATTTGGCCAATTTTTCATGTGCGCAACCCACATACTCAGCTCTGCTGCTCATCCCACAAATGCATGTTCCTTACAGATGTGGCACCATTTAAAAGGGAAATAAACAGGCTTTCCAACAGTATAAGATTTATTGCGAAGAAGCATTGTTATAACAAAGAAATACCAAACACAAATGTCCTTACTTTTTGTGCTTAGTTAATTTGAAATTTTTGTACAGGCATTCATCGTACCCAGATGATGAATCAGCTGGCTTTGGTGCTTCCCTGACTTTTCATCTAGTGCCACCATCAGGTCAAAATTATAATTTGTCTGTTTTGGGTTGTGGAAAAAAATCTGTAGAACTAATTACATTCCCATCACATCCTTTGGAGAACCTGAACAACAAGCAACTGTATTTTATCTGATTCAGTTTATGCAGAAATAAATATGTCATTGTTATTCGTACAAACCTTTCCAATTCAATTGCACACAAGCCACAACTACTGTCCCAGAGTTCATAATCCCCTCCAGACTTGTTTAAAAACATAAACAATTACTGTGCCTGTAATAATAATTAATGTCTGATATGGTTTGTCTGCAATTAAGTTCAAAAACAATTACCTCATAAAATATTCTTATACCATGTCACCAGAGCCAGTCTGTGACATCAGGGATCAGCCCGTCTGGCCCAGCCACCAGAGGTCTGGCTCCGGGGTGGTGGGGGGCAGTGTCCCCATACTGGGCAAGGTATGGCCCTGGATAAGCGTGTGAAAATGGATGGATGGATCGATGGAATATTCTTAAAATTACATCTACTGATTGTCCCTCATTGAAAAAAAAAGTAATCTATGAATTCACAGTTTTCCTTCTAAAATTAAAATGTCTCATTCTGCAATGATAAATATGAGCTAATTATAATACAATATAAACTTTAGTGACATTGAACGACAGCTGGAACCTGAACCACTCAAATGCTTCACTCTTTCTCAGTTTGCGATTTTCAGCCTGGTGATATTCTGGGTCAAGAGGGAATAGGTGCAGCTAAATACCAATTATGATGAACCAAGTGAAAAATTGCTTATCTCACTTATATTCCTAACTGAGTGATAAGCTGCTAGAAGATATAATGCAGGGTGTTATTTAGTGTAGAAATCTGACATTCTCTCATAAAGCAGTCAGGCTCTTTTAATTTGAAATTCATGGCACTGCAGAAAATAGATTGAGATTCTGGACAGGATAATAACACCATCCCTTCATCCAGGAAATGTAAAAGGTAATTTACCTTGGAGATTCCCATCGTAAACCCACAGTGGCATCCAGCTGATTGTTGTAGATCAGGCTTTTTCACTTATATCATCAACAGTGTACCTTTTATATGAGATCATTTCTAATATCCTTTACATATGGACAAATAACTTTCACTCACATCTAATGTAAATGCATCTCCCATCTCATGCCATGGTGCTCAATATTTCTCTGTTTCTATCTGTCAGGTTGAACATCCTGCTGGGTGGCATGACGCCTCTGTATTTCCACATCATAAACGTGTGTTTGCACTGCGCCGTAACCTGCCTGCTCATGCACACGTGTGAACGATGTGTGTTCGAAGACTCGCGCCTGGCCTTTGTCACAGCACTCCTCTTTGCTGTGCATCCTGTCCACACCGAGGCTGTAAGTACATGACAAACTTTAATGAACTGGCTCAGAGTGATAAGGATGGAGCTTGTGCTATAGTCATGGTTTCACCTTGATATCTGGAGCACTATACAAAGTTGCTACCAAAAATAAATTTAAAAAACTAAACAAGTATTAAAGGGATAGTGCACCCAAAAATGAAAATACAACCATTATCTACTCACCCATATGCCGACGCAGGCCCTGGTGAAGTTTTAGAATCCTCACATCCCTTGCGGAGATCAGCGGGTGGAGCGGCTAGCACACCTAATGGTAGACGGCGCCCCAGACTAACATCCAAGAACACAAAATTGAATCCACAGAGTACCTCCATACTGCTCAACCATAGTAATCCAAATGTGCTGCAGCTGCGACATAAAAAGTTGTTTCGAAAAACGTCATATGAAGTCTGTTTTTAGCCTCACTGTAGCCTGTAGCTGTGACTGCTTCTCTGTGCGCCACGCTCACGTGTGCGCGCCTGCGCGAGATCAGCGAAAGCATGAGCTTTGCCCACCCGTGTTTACATCACGTGACACGTGCACAGCAGGTAACCACAGAGCTAAAAGATAATTTGCACTACGGTCTTTTAGCAAAGGACAGCCCAACATGTCTGAAGACTTTGAAATTGAGGAGGAACAGCATTTCTTTGTTGAGCCGTATTTGTTTGAGCCCAAGTATATGCACAAAACTCAGGCTACTGGACGAAGCAGCTGCCGCAGCTCATGAGCCTAACCCTCAGCCAGCCGCAGAATACCGGAGTCGAGCACTGGAAACCTGGTCGTGTAGTTGTTTCAAATGCAAAGCAATGCCAATGGATGAGGAAAGTCTTTGCTGCTCAGACTGGGAATTGGCGATGCCTGCACTTGAGAATCTGGACATCAGTACTGACGAGACTGTTGCTCTT